CCGGTTTAAGCCCAAGCCTCCGTCAGTACATTCCTTAATTACGCGCCACCGCGACTCCGCTTTGTCCTCGGATTAAGTGCTCTGGAAGTATCACGCCCCGGATCCCACCGAGCCCACGACATCCCTCCGTGGTTGTATTTCGAATGCGACGTCCTAGGACTCATTGCCGACCCAAACGAAACTTCAAGCATAGAACGTACGCGGAAGCAATTATAACACCCAGACAAGATTAAAGACCAAGGGTAGTAGGAGAACACTTGAACAAATCAACCACATACTTCATTCAATGGCACGTACTTACAAAATCCAACCTTACATACAAAAGGCCACTAGGGTTAAAACCACCATCATAAACAAAAAGACAAGTAGTCGGGTAGGCTAGCCTAGCTATACAAAAAGGGTCCACCAACTCCATGGGCTCTTCTTCGGGGTCTTGCTCCATCGGCTCTTCCTCGGGATCCCAAAACGCTGTGATGGACCATTCATGGTCGGGGTCGGGGGTCTGAAATAGTTATATAATAACCATGAGAACGAGTCTCAATAAGCAGCACCATAAACCCTACCTAGGCTAACACGTACCTCCAGACAAATAGAATAACACCCAACACACTCAATCAACATGCAATAACATTCAAAGGCACTCTCTAGCCTTACCTCGATGCATATATAACCCTGCACGTTAGTTGGATCGCAATAACATAACCAACTTCTCAATGCACATTCACTCCAAGATACAACCAATTTCCTACACATGCATCCATAATAACATTCCAACTTATTCCAATCTCAATCTCTACACATGCTCACATCTTTCAACTTCCGACACGCACATGTGTCCACCTCGATCAATACCGACCCGCGTAACACGCCTCAGGCCCACCTCATCGTACGACTCGCATAACACGTATCAAGTCTACGGCACGACTCGCGTAAAGACGCATCAAGTCGACGATCCTCTGGTTTATCCGGGCATTGTCTCGCGTAACACACCTCAAGACAAATCCAATTCCACGCGTAAACACGCCTCAAGGATTATAGGATCAAACGTACATCCTCATTCAATTTCATGCATTTCCCCGAGTCAACACGCCTCAAGGCCTATCGATCATACGCGATACATATCTCATTCCCTCACACAACATCCACATGCCCTAATCACACACAAACATGCTTAATTCCAAATCAACAACTCAGCCTAACCAATCCATTCATAAGGACAGCAATGTAGCTCAACCTTATCACCCAATAATTCCAACACCCTTCAATCCACAATTCAAGCTATACACTCAATGGCATAAATCCACACATCCCAACATTCAACTTAGCCACCAAACACCACAACATTCAACTCAGCCCCCAAGCACTACAACTCAGCCACAAGAGGAAGAGAAAATCGAATACACAGAATCGGGGCAAATTTGGGCCAGTGCACAATTCTGGAATTCCTTTTAAAACAAATATTAATTCAACTCCAAAAATTATGAATTTCGGATATGTCCTAAGAAACATCATGATGAACATTTTTCATGAAGAACACAAAACTCAGTTATGTCTAGAACCACCTCTTTTTGTCACCCAAAGTCAGACATAAAATATTTCATTCGGACTGGCCATCCGGCTTTCAAAATGTATTTCAAGTAGTAACCAAATATCCTTAGAAAGCTTTGAAATTTTTATATGTTATAGCCACAAATGTCCCCAACAATTTTTGTGAAGGAAGTATTTTGAAAATAGGTCTGAAAAAATTTATAAAAATTCGAACAGACCCGAAGGTCGGAGGAACAGTATTTCCGGCAGACTGATTTCGGTTCAAAGATGGACTTCCGAATGGCCTCAAATGACTTCTAAAACTTTCCAAATTAAATTATGTTATATGTCAAGATGTTTTGAACAACTTTCATGAGGGACATTATCCCAGATTCGGCCCACACAGGTCTCGGAAAAAATAGCAAAACTCGGCGACACAGCAGTAACGAAATCCGGAAACACAACCAACAAGCAAATCTACTTGTCTAGCCCTTAAACCAACTAACCACAGTCACTAATCAACCTCTAATAAGCCCATTGATAACCCTTTAGCTTAGATAAAGTTTAGAATGCCACTTACTCAAAGCCTAAGCAAGCAAGACCAAGCAAGAAGGGTAGCACAAGAAGCAGCGGAGCAGAAGCAGAAACGGAAGCCAGCGAAGGAAGCAAAAGGAAAAGAAGAAGAAGAAGAGAAGAAAGTCAATCATGAGGGTTGGTGGGGAGCTGGCGGTGTCAGCCAAAGGGGGAGTCAGCGAGGAAGGATCAGCAGCATGGGGAAGTCAGCGGGAAAAGAGGAGGAAGAGAGAGAGAGGAGAGAGAGAAGAAAGGGGGAAAATGATTATCCCCAAAAGAAATATCTTCCACAAATTTTCTTTTGTAATTTTTCTTTAATTTTATCCCTCAAATTACCAATTTGTCCTCGGTCCGGGTGCCGAATTACGGGTCGACTTGTTCTTATCGGGCCTTGATGACCGGCCTTTTTCGGGCGCGAGGCCCAACGGTTTTGCTCGGCTCACTTCCGTTTTTCACGTCAAATTTTCGACAAATCCAATAAACCTTAAGGTTGGCCACGCTTATGTGACGTCGTCCAAATAAATTAGTCGTGACACTTCGAGAAATTCGACATCCAAGTTCGGATTCAAATGACGGCCAATTTTACTTAAATGCAACTTTAGTATATCTCTAACTAACGGACGGCTTTTTAGGGTTTACGCGTATCGACCTGCGGTTACTCAAGTCATGGCGACCTCGATCGTCACCGAAGGTCGACTCATGGTCGAGTTCTTAGGTCCACGTACATTTTCCTAGGTAGCCATTCCTTAAAGGTTAGTATCCCGAGAATGATCAGTTTCGGGCGAGATTTAACTACAATTGCATTGAAGAATATACACATTTCATTTATCCTAAAAGTGGATCGAAATTCAGAATATCACAGGAAGCATCATCGGTGCGTCTCCATCGTCCTATGAACGAATCGGAATTGTATGTTCGGAGAGTCGGTATTACATCATGTGATCGGACGATGGCAAACGAACAGAAAACACTGCTTGAGAGGTGAGCATGTAATGGAAACTCTCGCCTGGATGGCTTCACCGACGTACGACCCGTGTTTTGTTGGTGATAGTAAAGTGGAAATGATCAACTTTCGGCAATCGTCGAGCACCTATTTACTCTTGTTTTCGCACATAAGATCATCAAACAAGCCTGTGCAACACATACTGGTGCTGTCATACTGTTATGGTCAGCGAGAACTTATGTTTGTTTCAATCTTGTGTTGGGAAAAGATGATAGTAGTCGTGAGGGATTCAGCAGAAAGTGAGTCGTCCACAAAATGTATCTGATCATATCACCAATCGGTTCAAGTCCACAGGAGTCTTCAAGTCGCCAAATGAACACACGTTCTATTCCCATCTGTTTCGAGTCAAGAGCTCCAAATGTCAACCACCAATCATCATACGCTCATCCATTGGTTCTGAATTCTTGTCAAGCAAAGGAACTGCATCTATTCATTAGTGATTACACACGCCAGTCCACTGCTTATCTTTGAACTATTTGGCCATAATTTACTTGCAGAATACTCCCTCTTGGTTCCAATTTCCTAAATGTTTCTATTGCCATGATTATTGGATTACATTCACGGAGTCGTCTTCCCAATCACAAGAGCTATTATTACTGACGGTAAATATATTTAAAAATCAGTAAGTGAGATGGGAGAATGCTGCATTATCAACAGCAAGATACCTAACTCGAGTGTAATTTTTCACTCATGAAGAGCTTAATTAGCTACAAGGACCCCTAAATCGGATATGCAGTGAATATTATTGAGCTTCTTATAATGTAATTGTGTGCTGTGGTTGGATAATATTATCCATCTATCTTCTCAAAGGATGCAAGTGGTTTACGTGATTTTTAGACCAGTTTACAATGAAAACTCCCGTAGATTTGACAATGCAAAGAGCGCCGAACATGAAAATCCTAGAGACATGCATCAAATTATCTTCGAGCCTTATGTTTGATCTCTTCACTTACGAACCTCTAGAAATAAAAATACGAAACCGTTAACTTCTAGAAAGTAGCTAGTTTGATTGGGCATATGAACAAATTCAAGGTACATTGGCGAGTTTGACGTATTGGCATCGTTAGATCTGAAGGAAACCTTAAAGGAAGCTCCTTCTTCATCGTTGCACTGCACATGCCGAATAATGACACAAAGATAGCCTCGATTACATAATTTGCTGAAATGAGCAGTCACGGGAAGTCAATATTGCACCGTTGCTCTCGATAACATATTATCCTACAAAGACATAGATCTTTGGATATCCATCGAAGACATACGTCGCTTAGCCATACGAAAATGCTTACGTTCTTATTTGTACCAGAGAGTACATATATAATAAACACATAAAAGTATGCATTTCTTACATTGTGATTGGTTTTATATATTTCATTAGCTATTAAGTCAAACAAAATCATTTATATGAGTTGATATTCATTTATAAATATGCATGGTTTTTCTCATTTCCTACCAACATAAGAACATACCTCGACAGAAATCCAACTTCACATCCAAAATTAAGAGAAAGTACTATACGTATCAATTTATTCTTGGCATGATGTGACTAGCCGATTAAAATGCTTGCGTAATATGAAACCAACAGACTTTGCATTTGAGTTTGAAAAAAATACCATTTTATGTTAACTTGCTTTCCGACTGATATGACATATGCTCAAAAAACTTTCTTCAACACTAGCATGGTCTCCATCTTTTAGGGTTTCCATCAGTGAAATTATATCTCCTTTTCTTTCTCGTCCATTCCAACATCAAGAGTTTTCGTTGAACCGAAAATTGTTTACCTAATAAACCTCCTCATAAAAGAGAACATAAGATGTTACTCATAGCTCTTTCTGGTAACCAATTATCTCTCGTCACATCGTTTACTTAATCTTGAAGTTTCAGAGGAGACATGATTCCGTAACCACATAAAACCTAGCTACGGCCAGGTCTCTTTATTTCCATATCTTGTAGTACACAAACCACACAGCAGGTATGGCCTAAGGGCCAGCTATGATCATGACATATATGTTGCATTTCTGGTGGAAATCAACTTGTGCCATGCGTAAGATTCATGCTTTGAACAAGAGGTTCCCCAATTTATTCATTAATCACTATATTTATAGTTTAGATTTAGACTGACCATCCCCACCTCCCAACAGGGCAGTTTAGGGGCCCATGATCACACGGTGAGAACCATCGCCGCTGGAGTTGGCCGGAGCACTTGAGTAGCTGTTGTATCCATCATTCTTCTCCCGCTGGGGCTCGGTTTGAGCGTTGGTGTTGCCTGTAGTGGTAGCAGTGGTTGGAGTAGAAGTACTAGTAGTGCTCATGGAATCGGTGATCTTGCTTGAAGTAGTAGCAGCGGCGGAAGTAGAAGAAACGGTAGCATCGCTACTGCTAGCAAAAGCTTTGCGGCCCATGCTCGCATCGGCGAGCCGACGCCCCTGGAGATTCATGGGCTTTGCATCGGCTTGTAGAACTGCCACAATCAGCACGAGGACAAGGAAGAGCGCAAATGCTGCCTTCATGGTTGGATTCAGTTGCTTAACCTGAAAGGGTGGATTTTGTATGATTTGCTTTTCACGGAGGCGATAAAAGATGATTTTATGACCTTCTGATTCTAATAAAAACCCTTTTCTCAAATTCCTTTTGCACCTAGTTTCAAGAACTAAAGAAAAATAGGCAATTAAATTGAAGCCACTTAAACATATTCTTGATAGATGAGGTATGATGCAGGAAGAAGATACTTGAAATCTAAGGTTTTGCTGGACATACCAGTTTATGTGATGAGGGAGTGTCTCCGCTTGGTGTGAAGATCTGGTGGTCCTTTGCGTGGCATTTATAGGCGAGGGAAATGTGTTCTGTGGCTAGGGTTAGGGAACACAACATACTCATCAGATAAGAACTACAGAATAAAGCACTTCGAATTTTCTTCAAAAAAGCAAATTTAGAGTGGGGGTATCCCAATGTGGCTGCACCACTGGAACAGGTTAAGCCACCAAAGAGGTAATCATGATTAAGATTGATAATTGAGGCAGCTCGTGGGTTGACATTCAAAGTTTTTGTAATTATTGGGGGGCAATGTCCCCATTCTAGGGTTAGTAATGGGGAGTAATGAGATAAAAGATGAAATCTTTTTCTATTATGAAGTCTGTAAGTAACCCAAGCCTTTGAATCTCTTTCTAGAGCAAGTGGTGTCAAGTTTGAGGACTCGAATCTGATTTCTCACACCCACTTTTACCATTTTTTGGGGAAACCTAAGTCTGTAAGTATCTTAGGTTTCCACATGTTCTTTCACCCACACATGTATCGAATTTGCATGCTTCAGGCCCTTCATGTTCCGAGGAGTATCAAAAGTATGATATAATCAATGTCATTTCCCAATAATCTAAGCTTTCAAATAAACGGTTGTGCATTTAAATTTAAGTCTCAGTCACATCCAAAGAAGTTTCATGAAGGATAATTAACAGTTGGTAATCAAGAAACCTTTCCAAAGAGAATTTGTATTGCGGTGGTAATATTATGTGTAATGTTGGAACACTCTCACTATGGTAGAAGTTTATCCGGTGATGAAATTCTTGTGGAGAAGCAAATGAAAATTAGTTGATACTTACGTTGGGTTTACACATGAAGGGTAAAGATATGGATATTTGATGCGAGTGGTCAAGTGATTTTAAGACCGGTTTACAACAAAAACTCCTGTAGATTTGACAATGCAAAGAGCGCCAAACATGAAAATCCTAGAAACATGAAGCAAATTATTATCGAGCCTTATGTTTGATCTCTGCACTTCGACTACACACCTCTAGAAACGAAAACATGAAACCATCATTTTCTAGAAAGTAGCTAGTTTGATTGGGCATATGAACGAATTCAAGGTTCATTGGCGAGGTGGATGCATCGGCATTGTTAGATCAGACGGAATTTTAAAGGAAGTCCCTTCTTCATTGTTGCACTGCATATATACAATGGTATACAATGTGCAAATTAGCCGAATAATGACACAAATATAACCTCGGTTACATAATTTGATGAAACAAGCAGTCAAGGGAAGTCAATAATGCACCGTTGCTCTCGATAACATGTGATCCTGCAAAGACATAGATCTTTGGATATCAACCGAACACATACGTAGCTTAGCCATACTAAAATGCTTACGTTCTTATTCGTACCCGAGAGTAAATATATAATAAACACTTAGAAGTATGCATTTCTTACATTCTGATTAGTTTTATATATCTCATGTGCAGTTAAGTTAAACAAAATCGTATATGATTGGATATTCATTTATAAATTTGCAAGCTTTTTCTCAATTCCTACCAACATAAGAACATATCTCGACAGAAATCCAACTTCACATCCAAAATTAAGGGAAAGTACTATATGTATCAATTATATTCTTGACATGATGTGACGAGCCGATTGAAATGCTTGCGTAATATGAATCCAATAGACTTTGCATTTGAATTTGAAAATTTACCATTTTATGTTAACTTGCATTTCGACTGATATATGACATATGCTCAAAAAACTTTCTTCAACACTAGCATGGTCTCCATCTTTTAGGGGTTCCATCAAGTGAAATTATGTCTCCCTTTCTTTCTCGTCCATTCCAACATCAAGAGTTTTCGTTGAACCGAAAATTCTTTACCTAATAAACCTCTGCATACAAGAGAACATCGGATGTTTCTCGTGGCTCTTTTTGGTACCCGATTATCTCTCGTCACATCGTTTACTTAATCTTGAAGTTTCAGAGGAGACACGATTCTATAACCACATAAAACCTAGCTACGGCCCGGTTTCTTTATTTCCATATCTTGTAGTAGACAAACCACATAGCAGGTATGGCCTAAGGGCCAGCTATGATCACGACATACATGTTGCATCAAACTTAAATCACACAAGAGAGACACCATAAAGGGTACAAAAAAGCTGATCATTTCAACTTTCTGGTGGAAATCAACATGTGCCATGCATAAGATCTATGCTTTAAACATGAGGTTTCCCAACTTATTCATTCATCCTATAATTTACATTTAGACTGACCATCCCCACCTCCCAACCGGGCAGTTTAGGGGCCCGTGATCACATGGTGAGTACCATCGCCGCTAGAGTCGGCTGGAGTGCTTGAGTAATTGTTGAATCCGGCGTTCTTCTCCCGCTGGGGCTCGGTTTGAGCGTCGGTGTTGCCTGTGGTAGTAGCAGCGGTAGGAGTAGAAGAAGTACTAGTAGTGCTTGTGGAATCGGTATTGCTTGAAGTAATAGTAGCAGCAGAAGTAGAAGAAACGGTAGCACCGCTACTGCCAGCAACAGCTTTGCGGCCCATTCTCGCATCGGCAAGCCGACGCCCACGCAGATTCATGGGCTTTGCATCGGCTTGTAGAACTGCCACGATCAGCATGAGGACAAGGAAGAGCGCAAATGCTGCCTTCATGGTTGGATTCAGTTGCTTGACCTGAAAGGGTGGATTTACAGTCACACAAAGATCATCCAACAAAAATCATATGATTTGTTTTTCACGGAGGCGATAAAAGATGATTTTATGACCTACTGATTCTAATAAAAACTCTTTTTCTCGATTTCCTTTTGCACCTAGTTTCAAGAGCTAAAGAGAAAGAGGTAATTAACTTAACTCAAAGCCACTTAAACATATTCTCGATAGATGAGGTATGGTACAGGAAGAAGATATTTGAAATCTAGGGTTTTGCTGGACATACCAGTTTATGTGACGGGGGAGTGTCTCCGCTTGGTGTGATGATCTGGTGGTCCTTTGCATGGAATTTATAGGCGAGCGAACTTCTTCTGTTGCTAGGTTCAGACAACACAGCATGCTCATCAGATAAGAACTGCAAAATGAAGCACTCGAATCTTTCTTCAGAAAAAGCAAAATTTGGAGTGGGGGGATCACAATGTTACTGCACCACTAGAGCAGGTTGAGCCACCAAAGAAGTAATCATGAATAAGATTGATAATTAAGGCAACTCGTGGGTTGACAGTCAAATACTTAGTGATTACTGAGGGGGCAATGTCCCCATTCTAGGATTCATATATGGGAGTAATGAGATGAAAGGTGAAATCGTTTTTCCTTTCCGCAATAATTACATGACACTACGTTGAACTTTGCTAACTGGAAATCATGAATTTAACTAAAGACAAAATAGGGATCAAAGGGCGTGCTTAAAGTTAATCATTGTTAAATAGGGGCTCTTTAGACGGCCATTAACGGTCTATGTCTTAATTTATGGCGTGGTAAAGAGTTGTCGATTACATGCATCGTTAATGTGGGATTAGCATGAAAAACAGTGCATAAACACCGTTAGGTCAGAATTTCATTGCATGCTCACAGTCACAACGCATTAGTTTCTAGGAAAGAAATGATAATTTTTTTTAAAGGTTATGTTCTCTCCACTTAATTGGTTCTCTGAAACACAAGATCCATCTATTCTTTGAATATGGCAAGTATCATTGCTTAATGAGTGTTTGAAGTGATTTTTATTTCCCGATTCTTTTAGATTTTTAGATTTTTATATTAAAATGAAAGAGACTTTCACAATCTATAAATGTTGACATGGAGTTTCACATACAATTCCTTATAATACTGTAAACAAGCTAGTCAAATTAGTATTAGATTGGAATAAGTGTAGAAACAAGAGTTAAGGTTTTGGCTGTCGGTGAATTGAGGGCTTAAGGTTTTATTTTGGTCAATCAAGGGCTTAAGATTTTCAAAAAGCCACAATCAAGTCACAAGCTCGCTGTAGGTGGAATCGGCACCGAAAATGTCATGTGGCAAATGACCAACTATTGCACGTAGTAGCCATGTCGGATTTTCGATATTTAAATTCCATCGATGGGGAGCTCGAGAAGTGATTGAGGCTTTTTTAAAACCTTAATTCCTTAATTCACCAAAAAGAATATACTGTTCTCATTGACGAAGACTTAAACGTTAGCACCTGTTTTTGCACTTATCCCAAAGCTGTCAAGCATAGAAAAAGAAGTACCAGAGATCCGTAGAGAGAGAGAGATCTTACGAAGGATTGCCATATTATTTGTGAGAAATGGGGCATTGATGTCCTAGATTCATGATATGGTATGTATAAAGAGCTTGTAGATGATAGAACGATCCAAAATTTATACTTCTTTTTTTTTTTTTGGTCAGACCCACAATTTATAATTCAAATTGACAAAAGTTTGCATGTACGGTAATTTGTATAGGTCCATGGACTATTTATGCATGCGCTTTGCTATGTACAAACTTGTGATAAGCGTATGACCTATGTTCTCAAAATTGGCCCGCAATGTAAATAGTCATCCAAAAACGAAACGAGTTGGGTGGCATCATACATTTTGGAAAGTTGTGAAGTTCCATCTGTAACACCCAAACCCATTCCCTGCACTTTTCATTTATCTAGTCTTGAAGTTTTAGAGCAGACATGATTTCAGAACCACGTACAGCCAAGCTAGGCCAAGTTTTCTTCAGTTTTTCTGTATCTTCAATTACACAAGAGAGACCACACACGTATAGGCAACACAAAAGCTAATCGTTCCAACATTCTGGTGGAAATCGACATGCATTCATGGAATCTATGCTTCAAACATGAAGTTCCCCAACTTATTCATTCATTTGTTATACCTATGTTTTACATCAAGATCGACCATCCCAGCCTCCAGGATGAGCGGTCTAGCGGTCTACTAAGAAATGGTGAGAACTATCAGAACCCCTGGGAATGGTGTTGTTGACATCGGCCGGAGCGCTTGGGTAGTTACGACTGAAATAACCATTGTTGTCCTAATGTTTGGTCCCGGCTTTTAGCATCCGCATTGTTTGCAGTGGTAGGAGTGGTAGGAGTGAAATTACTAGTAGCAACCCATCGGTCTGGTGTCTTGCTTGAATTAGCAGCAGTAGAAGAAACCGTAGCATCGCTATCGCCAGCACTGGCTTCGAGGCCCATGCTTGTGTCCCCGAGCTGACGCCCCTGCAGATTCATGGGCTGCTTGTGGGCTGGTAGAGCTGCTGTGATCAGCACGAAGATGAGGAAGAGCGCAAATATTATCTTCACGGTCAGATCCGGTCGCTCGACCCTGAAAGGATTTGGTATTCACACCTTGACAATCCAATAATAACAGAATGATTCTTTTAGGAAGCAATAAGGACATACTAGTTCTTCTTGATTTTAGCTGACATAACTCAAAACCACTTAAAGTTCTTCTTGATTTTAGCTAAGGTATGACACTGAAAGAAGATATTTGAAATCTAGGGTTTTGCTGGACATACTAGTTCATGTAACGAGGGAATCTCTGCTTTCCAGATAACGCTTGCATCCTCTGTGTTATGTTTCGCGTGGTCCAATAAAGTAGGTGAGTGAAATTGTTCTGTTGCTAGGGTTAGAGATGACAGCACGTCGATCATCATCAGATATAAGCTACAAAAGCTCTTAGGGGATAAAAAGGGGGAAGTTTCGAGTGGTGGGCTTACAATGTTGCTTCCCCATTGGAAGAGAGGTCAAGTCACCAAAGAAGTAATCATGATTAAGGTTGACAATTAAGGCCACTCTTGAGTTGAATTCAAATTCTTTATGATTTTACTGAGCAACAATGTCTCCATTCAACTCGTGAGTTGAATTCAAAGTACAAGGGAGTGATGAGATGAAAGGTGAAATCTTGTTCTATCTGCAATAATCACATGACAGTGCATGAAACCATGAGAACCTGGAGGACAATTTCACTAAAGACAGCGTTGGGATCAAAGGGCGTGGTTCTTTTAACGGCCACCAACGGTGTACATCCTAGTATCATCACGTGGTAAAGTGCTAATTACATGCATCGTCGTTAATGTGCAATTAGCAAGAAGAACAGTAGCTTAAACAGCTTTAAATTAGCCTTTCATGGCATTCACAGTCACACCACGTTAATTACTTGTTTGAGCTCATTTTATTTTAATATCTAAATCTTTATAATGTAGGTCATGTTCTTTTCTCGTTAACTGATCGTGAAAATGAAGAGAGCACTTATTCTTTGAAAGTGACTCTTTGTTTATTTTTAAAATATCATTGCTTAATACCAGACGTGGGGATATTCAGCATGAGTAGAGATTAGCCAGGATAACTTTGTATGCATCTTTTATATCCATGTTTAGCAGCTTAATGAAGTTAGTCAGATTGTTCTTTAGTATTAGGTACATTTAGCAGATTCAGAGAGAGAGAGAGAGAGAGAGAGAGAGAGAGAGAGAGAGAGAGAGAGAGAGAGAGAGAGAGAGAGAGAGAGAGAGAGAGATCACAAGGATCACCATATTATGTGGAAGAAATGGGGCATTGATGTTGATTCAGGTATTTAGTACTGATGTCGATCATCAAACCAGTATAGCAGATTCATATTATTTACATATGGAGAGATACCTTAGTTTTATAGGAAACGTCAAACTTGGATTAGATATATTACATATATCAAAAGCGAATGGATATGGATGATGCGTAACGCCGAATTTCACTATGTTTCCAATGGACTTAAAGTTATTGAATGAAGTCTAAATTAGCAATAACGTAATTGATCTATTTAGAGACTATATATGTCATGTATGTCAGAACATGTGCATTCAGTAGCTTGTAACCTTTAAATTGCGATACCCGGACATAAACCGCATAGGATCCCATCCTCTGATAGGATCAACTGATGAAAATTTTTCTCAACAAGACTAAAAGTTTGCTCAACACTTAATGTAAATTGTTTGGGGGATAAGTTCAACACTATTGGCGGAATTTTAAGAGTCACTTTCTTCTGTACTTTTTTGAAGATTTTCGTGCTCCAATCTGCTCTCAGAGTATGTAGTTAGAAAGTTTTATCTATCTGGTTTCTAATGTATCAAGTTTGATGCTATTTGAAGTCTTCTAGAGGAAGTCATGCTTAATCTACCAAGTGATGCTGAGTCTACTCAAGAATAAGTCTTTGAGTCTTTCTAGGAGTTACTCCTATGCATTTTATCTTGTTCCCAGAGTCTCTTGAGTCAAGAGTCAATGTTCTTTATATATTGATCAGGATTGTTGGTCTTGTCTTAAAATAAGGTGTATCGAAACTTGTCTATGCTTTGAGGTTGCTCTAAATTGAGTCTAATTAAAATTCTCTAAGATTTTCTTGATGGTTAAAAATTTTTTATTGATAAGTTTCATAATCGAACTCTTGGATTAGGTTTTATCTTAACTAGTATCTTTTTTTTTTTATTGAATTCATTAAGTGGTGAATTGTATACCATTTATCATTCCTAAGGTGGATTCCTCAGGGGGTGTGCATTTACCATTTAACATTTATTTTGTTGCACTTTTACAACCTTTTAAATCTCCTACCACTTCGGTATCATCAACTATCTTGCTTCTCCATTTGCCATCCGCACATGATATAACTAATCGACAAAGTACCAAGGATCGTCCTAAGTAAACACTATATCTCTCTTCTTATCTTATCCTTTCTTCCTGTTTTTTTTTTCTTTTTTCCTAAAAACACGAAATATCTAAACCTTTCGACTCGACTAATTCTCACGAGTCCATGCGAATCACCCCATTCACACGCATCGAGTACGGCTCATTGTGATTTGAATACAAGATCTATCGTATCCAAACTAAGCGTTTAACCACTCAACCAACCCTTCAGACGTGAAAAGGGATGCATGCATGATCCCTCATCCATTCCAACGTCAAAAGATTTTATCGAAGCCAAATGCTTTACCTGATAAACCTTCGCCCTCAGAGAGAATGTAATGTTGCTCAACACATCTTTGTACAATAATCTCTGCTAACGCCTAAATCCTTTCCCAGCCCTTTTATTTAATCTTGAATTTTGGGAGTCAAGAAGTTTTTATAAGCACACAAAACCAAGCTGGGCCCGGGTTTCTTTATTC